TCCCCCCACCGGAGTGAGAGTCCCCATTTATCTACTCACGTAAGTTTTCGAACTGTTGGGTTGACAGGAACTGGGGGGAGGAAACAGGAGCTCACCCTGTTTAACGCGAAGGCTGGACTCGAATCGCCGAAGCGTCAGCCATTTCTGGCCGGCAACTTTCGGCGTCATTAAGCCGCTGCGCCAATGTCCTAAATTTTGGCTCCATGGAAAAGAGCTTTTGGGCATCTTCCCTGTAGCTTCTCTTTATAAATCTGAACATGGATATCATGTTGTTAGGCCTTTGACGTCGTAGTCCAGGCGAGAAGCACAACCATGAGTATTAACTCTACCTTTATTGTAAGGTTACATTAATAGAATCTTGCAAGGTGGAAAGTATTTTCCTACTCCTTTCCTTTTACTCTCTGGAAAACTAGAGAGGGTCCCTTTTGAAACACTTCCCACGCCCTTTCTCTTTCTGTGGGCTGAGAAATATTTATATGCCAGTTGTCCAGTTTGCAGCTCTTCCTCCTGTCTCCCAAGGTCACTCCCACATGACATTATACATGTCTTCCCCCCTTCTCTTTAGATTGAACATCCCAAGTTCCTTCAACCTACCTTCATAGGACATGTCCTCAAGCCCAAGGATCATCTTCACTGCTATCCTCTGCTTATGTTCTAATCTGTCAATGGTCTTATGAGAATGTGGTCTCACCAGTGCCAAGTAGAGAGGGATTTTATGTATGTATGTACAGTATGTATGTATGTACGCATGTATTTATACAATTTACATGGCTGTCTATCACATAGCAATAGCTCTTGGTGATGTACAAGAAGATAAAAGCAAGCAACAATAATGAGTCTTTGGTGCAACTCTGATGCAGCCCAGAACTGCATTAGCCATTCTGACACCTGCCAGTTCCTCCAATGGAAGAAGCTTTGGAGCCGCATCTTGGAATGCTGCTGACTGCTCCATGCTAAGCACTTCTCCCTCTTCTGTCCCAGTCATGTGACTCAGAGCTGAGCATATGTAGCTCGCTGTGTGGTTTTCACACAAAACATGCACAGATGCACCATGAGAAGGCAGTATAAACACAGAGGCCCATCCAACATTTGTGCTTCATTACACAGAAGACCATTTTTATGTCACTCTCATAATTTATTGTAGGGGAGATTATTTCTTTGTTACATGTTTTTTCACTAAAGTTTTAAGTGATATTTACCATCAGCCTTAGCTGATCTCAGTTGCAACAGGAGAGGCAATTTATAAATCCACAGGAAGAGTAAATATCATCCTATGTATTATTTGCAGAGGAGGCACCTCTGAACCACCTTTTTCATGGCAGTAGTTATTTCCTTGTTCCTGAGGGTATAAATGATGGGGTTTAGGAGAGGGAAAATGATGGTATGGAAGACAGAGACCACTTTATCAGGTGCATATTCATCAAAAGGACGGGCATAGATGTAGATAGCAGGACCAAACATGAAAATGACAATGGTGATGTGAGAATAGCAGGTGGAGAGGGCCTTGCTAGCTGATTCACCCACATTCTTCTTTAGCATGGTGAGCAAGAAGGCATAGGAGACCAAGAGAGCCACAAAGCAGACCACAGAAATCAGGCCGCTGCTGAAGATCATGACCATCTCCTCAGTGAAGGAATCAGTGCAGGTGATCCTCAGTACTTGGGTGATATCACAGAAATAATTGTCTAATTCATTGGGCCCACAGAATGGGAGGCGGACAATCAGCACCACCTGAAGGAGGGAATGGATAAAACCTCCAGCCCAGGAAGCCATCACTAATATGATGCAAAGTCGCCGGCTCATCTGGATTGAGTAGTGCAAAGGTCTGCAGATGGCAACATAGCGGTCATAAGCCATGACAGTGAGCAGAAACATCTCTGCAGCCCCCACAAAATGGAGGAAGAAAAGTTGAGCAATGCAGCCCCCAAAAGAAATGACCTTGCGCTTGGCAAAGAAATCAACCAGCATCTTGGGAGCAGTGATGGATGAATACCAGATGTCCAAAAAAGCCAGGTTGGCTAATAGGAAATACATTGGGGAGTTGAGGTGTGGGTCTCCTCGGATGGTAATAATGATCAGCACATTGCTTGGTAAGACAATGAGGTAAAACATGAGAAAGAGAGCAAAGAGAAAGAGTTGGATGCCACGTTCATGGGACAGACCTGTCAGGATGAACTCAGTCACATAGGAACTGTTCCTCACTCCTGTAGATGGTGGGTGAGCTGAGGCAGATGGTGACTCTACCATTATAGATTCAATCACTCTTGTTCCACTCTTCATTTTCTTCAGTGAGACTTATGGTCTTGTACCCACCTACAAAAGAAAAATGGAGGAGGCAAAAATGAAGAAATGGTGGGAAAAGAAGGGGAGATAAGAAATTGTTCAACTGAATTAATAAGAGAGAGGATTGGCATAAACTGGAGACAAATAATTCACATACCCCTCCAACAATTTTACTTTCCACCACTTTATGAAAGGTAGAACTAGTAGAAGATGGAAAATATTTACAGAAATAAAGGAAAAAACAAACAGAAAACAAACAGAGAATGGAAAAGGAGGAGGAAGAGAAAAGAGAAAAGGACAATGTTATAGTACATAGTAAACAGCTCAGTTTTTAAACATACCATTAAGCCTTGATGACAAAGTAGAATTGTGATAAGTTTTTCTATTATATTAAGAGTTCTCATTATATTTGCAATTGTATGGCCTTCTGATTTAGATGTGTACAATTCTTTCAGGGAATAAGGTAATTATTTCATTGCGGGTTAGAGTTGGGAAATAAATAAATACGTCACTTATTTTTAATCATTAGATTTTAATCTATAGAGCAAACAAAACAATGGCAAGATCTTATACCTTCATGAAAATGATAATAAAAAATGTTTCATTGGAAATAAGCAAAAACAACTCAGATGGAATCATATATTTAATGGGAAGGATGGGCTTGCTCACTTTGATATATTTCCTGAAATCTGGGTTTCATTTTGAAGCCAGCTCTTCTAGCTCACTAAAAGTCAGGCAGAAGACGGAAAGAAAAGGGTAGTTTCTTGCCTTAAATCAGCTTCTCTTAAACTACTGCAACTTGCAAAACATTGGCAGGTTTTTGATGCCCCTTGTTTCTCCTAGTGAAGCTACACTGGTTAATGAAGATGAAACTTTGAAGACTTAACATTCATTGTTTTACAATATCCTTTATCCACCCCCAAGTTGCAATCTACCATTTGAGAAATGGTGCATTACACTGATAAAAAGCCAGTTCATAAACATAAAGCAAATACATATCATCAATTCAAAACTGTAATATCAGTGTGGCACTATCTTCCAGCAAAAGAAAGAAAGAAAGAAAGAAAGAAAGAAAGAAAGAAAGAAAGAAAGAAAGAAAGAGAGAGAGAGAGAGAGAGAG